ACATGTATTGAATGCTGTTACATACTAGGGGTTCACAGAAAATGACTTGGATGACCCTTTTCAATGCTGTAACAGGGGGTGGTTTTTCCGCTTCCATTATGATTTCAGAGAGTGTACTGCATGGAATCTAAAACTCCTCCGCATTGGCCACATGGCCATACTCGTGCGCCGATGGGTGGATGAGGATTTGGAATCATGCTCTTCAATGATCCAAGTTGACCTGGATTGTTTGGAGTGCTTCTGTGGGGGCAGATGTCCACTCGGGGAGCTGAGGTAGGCTCAACGAATGAATCCTTCGGAGAACACCAGGACCCTCCTAACATGATTTGCGAGCTCTTTCCATCAGCAGGCAAAAGTCAATCGGCCCCTCATTCAAGTCCTCTTTGCCTCTAGCTCAGCATCAAGGCAGATTCACAAAGGCTTCTCGCAACTTCTCTACGTTCTCTGTTCTCCAGACTTCGCAATGTACAAGCGCCAAGGGCCAAACAAATGAGCCGTTCAAAACACTAGAAGAACCATCTATGATTGCACAACCTATTACTGAGTTGGATGGTACAACTCGTCTTGGCGGAGCAAAAAGGACACCACATACCCGTCTCTTCCACTGCTCCTCGTCCTGGCGGTGCAACCTCCATAGACAAACTTTAGGTAGCTCGTAGCAAGACCGAGAGAGAAGATACGACAAAGGCAACAAAGAGGAGGAGGAGGAGGACGAGGAGGAGGAGGACGAGGAGGAGAATGCTACACATGATGGACCCAATTCCCCAGCTGCAACCACACCGCCGACAAGCCCCTGTTCCCGACAGATGCCCAGCGACCAGCTTTTCGCCATGGGCGTCGTCAGACGAGTCACATCGTCTTTCGGTGGAAACGAAGTGATTTTTGGTGCGTGAAAATTGTGAGCCTCGTGTGTTGTTTCCCGGAAGTGGGCTTCTCAGATCATCAAGAACTCGATTCTCATATTGAATACTATGCTTCCAAGGATACTATGCCAATCTTAGCGGGTCTTAAACTCTGCGAAGACAGCACGGAAAAAGAAAACCAAAACATGCATCCTATGCGTTGGTCAAACCAAGTGCTGAACTGATCCGAGACGAGAGAACGAGTCCCGAAGGGTCATCGAACTGCCTTTTGGGCCAAACGGCCCAGCGAAGGCTCGAGGAAAGTCTGTTGGACTGTTGGCACAGGTCCTTGGCTGGCAAAGTGGAAAGAGGCGATGCAACGAAACCAAAGGTGGCTTTACGACGATCTTCCGCTAGGACCCGGTAGACACGGCTCTGAATGGATGGCAAACAGTGCCTTTGGTTAAGCTTGAGTCACATCTGAGTGAAGTAACTTGCCCTTAGAGAATGATTTAACAAGCTGGATCCCCAGTCAAAAGAGATTTACAATCTCCAACACCATTCCATGTCAGTTCTACTCTGTTGGCATTGTGGAAGTATGCGGTAAAAAGACTGCATTCATGGTTGCAAATCAACCCTGGTGCAGAACTCTGCAATAAGCGGCCTTGTTGAACGATATCCTCGCGCAATCACCGTGATACAGATGTGGCAGCTTTTAAAAAGACTCCACCTCTTGCTCTCATTCCAGGTGAGGTTCGAAGATACTTCTCTCAGGAAGCATTTGCTTGACTTAACTGCTCAAAACCCGGAAAACGTCCTGCAAATTGCTCCCTCAGATGCTTCACGACTTCTTTGTACTTCTTGCGGACCTCGTGGGAAGTGACCATCATGAAACGATCATGAGTGAAGCGCATGTCGTTGCCATTCTTGAATGCAGTCGAGTGCTCCAGCAAAAACAGGGCCTCGCGCTCTGAAAGTGTCGTGCTGAGTCTGCGAACGGATCTTGGAATCCGGTTCGAGTTGAGGGTCGCCACATGGGAGCAGTCAACCAAAGGTGGGGGTTCATTCTTCCGCGCGTACAAGCTATACCTCCTGTTCCCGGCATACTCGCACTTCACCATGCCAAATTTTTGCAAGCTCACGCATCGAAAGTTTACAAAGTCAAAGCTCATGGTAAAGCTGTCAATGTTTTTCAGGGTCAGCTCCGAGACGCTCTTGAAGAAATGCCAGCCTCAGGACGTGACTCAATTCAACACAACAGGTGACAAGGCCGTGCGTGAGTCAGTGTAAAATGTTGAGAACACGCGTAAGCTACTTTTGGTTTTGTCGCCACTAAAAAAGAAATTGGATTCTTGCTTGCAACCAAGAACAAGAACATGAAAATTCATTTGCTGATATGCTCCTAGTGGGCAGAACCCATCTTGCAACTTCGGTTGCGCCAGGTGATGCCTCTGGTACAGTCGTGCCACACGCGCCACACTCGCTACGGTCTTGGACCCCGAGGACCAAGCGAAAGCGGACGCCAATTGGAGCAGAGGTGGGTTTTTCTGAAAAAATGGAACGAAAAGACGAAGGTCAACTGTTTCTGAGACCTGTTCAAAGAAAACCCAACCTGATCAAAGAAATTGTCAACTGTTTCTGCCGTTGGCTTTCTGTGACAAAACTTCTGCATAGAGGCAGCTTTGCGAGGCAGCACAGGCGTTGACTCGCCTTTGGCGTTGACTCGCCTTTATAAACATGCTGGAGGGGCGAGTTGGATATTGAAGGGTTTTTTTCAACAGTGAAAGTGGACTGGACGCACTCGAGCATGAGCTGAATACATGTGGAGGTAACCCACGGATAGGACGGCTCTGCGTCGGTGTACACGCCGCGTCGCGTAGGGGGTGTACAAACGTCGCTCAGCGGAATGGAAAACACAACGGTTCGGCTTTACTGACTGGTGCGACGAAAGTAGGGAATAAGGGTGGCTGGATTCTGAGGTATCTACAGGGGTGCTTAATTCCCTCATTCCCTACTTTCGTCGCACACGTCTGAATACCGAAGCTTTCTCTCCTTCGGCTCCGAAATGCTGCTTGTTCATGCCCTGCACGAGGCATGGGCGAAGTGGCAACCCAGCGGTGTGTTGTTCGGTCGTGGAATGGAGAGTGGCAGCCAGCTCCATTTCTCCAACGAACGCACGACCGACACTGGAACCTTCTTGGTGAAAGACGCCGCACTGGTGTCTGTAAGTCTTTCATGGTCCGGCGCACGGCACGACCGGTCGCCCGGTCGCCGCGCTAGGCTCCAAGGCGATGTCTCGACTCCCAGAGGGCTGGGGGACTGATTCCACACGGAACTGGCAGGTAAACCTGACTACTTACTCTGGCAACATAAAGTTGGCACCAAAGAGGCCAAGCAATTGGGCTGGAACTGGGCGTTGAACCAAAGAATCAAATCGCTTTCTCTTGTTTTGATTTCTTTCTCTCTCTCTCTCTCTCTCTCTCTGCCTCTCCATAAATCCAAACCTATAACAATGGAACAGGCTTGTCTCTCCTGATTCTGATGAAGTCCTCAACCTCATCCGGAGCGGCCTCTTGCCCAACATGGCGCCAACACGGCGCCGGCGCCAATCAGTGCAACGAGTGAGTCAAAATCGTACGCCGGAGAAGTTCAGTTGTGGGACATGGGCGTCAGGAGACGACGTGCGAATGGAACGGAGGCCGAACGTGAAAGGGGGAACGACACTGGTCAGAGAGAGATCACCGGCTTCAGGGCTATAGAAGTCGAGAGTAACAACTTTTACCGGCAGAAAGCGACGTTTGGCAGTGAGCGCGACGCTTGAAAGATCAGTTTCTGTCTGAAATGCTATTGGGACTTTAGGGAGCAGTTTGTGTGGGGCTTTAAAAGCTTCTCAAAGGGTGCGCTCACGCTTGGCGGAGACAGCCGAGGCGGCGCAGGAGACAGGTCTCAGTTGGACAGGCTCGGGAAAGGGATGTTTGAAGTAGACTTGCTACTGCCGTCAAAAACACGAGGTTTAACAAAAACCTCGCAAATTACAGTGTAGCTGCTATTGTCGAACATAAACTCAAAACCGCGCTACCCTGTTTTGTGGCTTGCGGAGGATCAAACCCCAATATTCACACGCTTAAAAACATCATCGCCTGCGTGCGCACAAGGCAACAAGACCAATGAACAACAACAACAACAACAACAACAACAACAACAAGGTACAAACAAAAACTGCAACCCGGTGGTTGTTTTTTGGACCCCCCCTTCCAAAAGATGTTGTTGTCTCTACCCCCGCTAGAAACAAAATCTGCAACCCCGTTGTTGTTTTTTGACCCCCCCCAAAACAACACAACAAAAAACAAGAAGCAGACCAACCAAGACTTGAGTACCACAACGACAAGAAGTCCAGCTACTAACATCTCTCCAAACCTTCGACCCTATCCCTAACAGAATCCCATTGAAATCCCTGACTTGCAACATGTGACAACTATGTTGGGCGGCTGTTTTTGTCTCTACCAACAACAACAACAACAACAACTACTACTACTACTACTACAACAACTACAACTACAACTACAACAACAACAACAACTACTACTACTACTACTACTACTACTACTACTAAGACAGGGACAGAGACAACAACCCTTATGGCACCGCCGATTTGCGCTCTACAATCAGTAATTCACTCACACGAAGTTGAATGACTGAATCAGGTGTAGTTCGTCTTTCCTTGCCCCTAGCACCCAATGCTTGCCAGGCATTTGCTCATCTTGCTACTCTTCCACATAAAAGCAACCCTGGCACTAAGTCACTATGCCGCAGCATCAAACAGCAAACGAGTTGCACAACCTCCCTGCCATATATCAGCAACTACTACTGAGTTCTTCACCTCTACCAAACTCTCTCATAGGACACAAGATTTTGAGCGGTCTTCTTGCTCGTGGTTCATCCTCTTCCGTATCGCTATCAAGATCACGAAGCGGCTTTTCCGGGTCCATCAGCACGATCTCCACCTTGGAGGACTCAAAGAATCCTCCAGGGAAGCGGCCCGCAGGCTGCACAGACTCACCCAGCGCAGAAAACACCGACATGGCTCGCAAGAGGTGCAACATGCCCCGGCAGTGCTGTTGATCCACGACCAGCGGATCCCACGCAGCACCGACTTGCAAGACCTCATGGAAGCCCTTCGCCACACGCAAAGCGCCTGACAGCTTGCTCCCAAGATCTGCGAAGCTCAAGATGTGCGCCATCAAATTCACGTTCAAACATCCAATCCCTTCGATCCTCCAGTAGCCCGAAGGACCTGACGCGCCAACTCACTGAATCGCCGCCGCGAACGGTTTCGTTTCGGCGTCCGAAACCACATACAGCCGGAAGTTGAAAAGAAGGTCAAAGAAGTATGACGATGTCCACTGGTGTACTTGGAAAAGCAAAAAAGGCACCAAAACGTGAAATAGCCGCAAAGTCCAATAAAACCCACCAAGTCTGTGCAAAGAATGAGACTTTTCCAACTTCGGCAGCCTTGCTTGTAGCACAAGCGCCTGCGCGACTTCGGAGGCCATGCGCTGCCCAAGGAAGCGGGAGCCTCCGAATTCCTTCGCTTGACCTTCTTTGGGTGCGAACTTGGAGCAATCGCTGCCACAGCTGCAGCGAAGGCTTGGTCAGACTTCACCTCCGAACAAGGAAAACGTCTTCTTTTTCTTTCTCCACACTGCGGGGATTTCTCCATGCTGCTCAAATTGAAACGCTAATAAACTTGTTTGGCACCACCTAGGCTCAAAGCTGCTAAGAATGGAAAAATCAACACATCTGTTTCAAGAAACCAGCGATAGATCCCACCTCAGCGGCTAAGGAGTCGCAAAGCCGCTTGGCCACAAAGGGTTTGCTGACCAACAGCTTCCAAAGCTGCATGTCCTTTCTACATTTTTTCAGAAACCGCAAGGCTGCCCGGCTCTCTTCGTTCTCTTGCTCTGGCGGACATTCCGCCATGCTGCTCGAAGGCCAAAGAAGAAGTGCGAAATCTACAAGGCTAGCGTCTCTGCTTGCAGTCTGAGTCCAAGACACAATTCTCCAATGTCCTTTTTTGGTTAGCATGTTACAGCATCTACACAACATTTGCAGGTACAATGGGCGCATCATCAAATGAAGTTGCAAAATGCCATCTTATCATTGAGCCACAGTTGCTGCTTTCCAATTTAAAGACAAATTTATGACCAGCTCCTAGTTGTAGTGATAATTTGTTTCAAGCCTTCCACGAGGAATTCGCTGGAACAATTACAAGTTCTTCTCTTGGTCAGAAACCAAGAAATACTCTCTTGACTTGTACGAAACCAGCTGACCAGCTAAAGAAGAATGCCAGGGACGCAAAAACGCGATCTGATCTCCGAGCAACTCACCAAGCCCCGGGAGTCTAAAGCATCGAAAACTACAGGGGTCGTGGTCCAAATGGTGCGGATCGTCATTGGTCCATTGTCCCGAATCTGGACGTAGCGTCAAGGGTTTTTCACTGAATGGGGTAGAAGTTCGGAATCTTGAAGAAGATCCAACCGTTGCATCCGTCCATTCAAACGGTGTTCCATCTATCTAACGGTGCTTCAAACTCTCTTTATGGAGAATCTGATGCGATCCAACATCCAGGTCAATGCCTTCTTTCACCAGAGAAGCTGGGACAGAAGAACCCAAAGAAAAAGAAACAGCTCTTCGGCCTACAAATTCAATGAATCACGAAAGGCTGGTAGGCACAACATCCAACAATGTCTCTCTGCATAAACCACCCAACATCCTGGGCCCGGAAAGATTTTCGTGATTTAGTCGTGATGAATTGATGAACCCATGGATCCCAGTGAATCTTGAATTTTTGTTTTTTTTGTGATTGATATGACTCCCAATGCGTTCCTTCACTGATAAATAAAAATTGCAGACCTTGGTGCGACTAGTCCGCCACGCTCACCGTCCGCCACACTTACGATGTTGTGTCCAGCTCTTTCACACACCGGACGGTCTCGCAGCAATGTGTTCAAAGAAGTTGAACGTGGTAGAACACCTTTAGGAAGACAAGTGCTGAACAACACATGGTTCCTTTTCTTTGCGCTTCCAACTGGGAGTTGAAATAATCTCATGGCAACACACATCATCTCTGCTATTGATTGTAGCAGTCCAACTGTTCCTAGCCAAACTGAACCCCTGAAAGCCGCCTTGATGCCCAAGAAAAACTGAAGAGCACCGAGTAGGACCAAATCGTGCAGTACACGATTTAAGGGGCTGACGCCCACCCACCAGGGGGCCAGCAGGCGCACCATCAGAGGTTGTGAATTGTGGTTGTTGTTGGTGTTATGGTTGTTGTCGTGGTCCCTGGTATTGCTGTTGTTGTTGTTGTTGTTGCTGGTGCTGTTCTTGCTGTTGTTGTTGTTGTTGTTGTTGTTGTTCTTGTTTTTGTTCTTGTTCTTGTTTTTGTTCTTGTTGTTGCTGTTGTTGTTGTTGGTGTGGGTTTTGTTGCTCTTGTTGTTGTGGCAGTAGCAGAACCATAGCAGTAGCAGTAGCAGTGGCAATAGCAGTAGCAGTAGCAGTAGCAGCAGCAGCAGCAGCAGTAGTAGTAGTAGTAGTAGTATAAGTAGTATAAAAAGTATAAGTAGTAGTAAGTAGTAAGTAGTAAGTAGTAAGTAGTAACTAGTAAGTAGTAAGAAGTAAGTAGAAGTAGTAATAAGTAATAAGTAGTAAGTAATAAGTAGTAAGTAGTAGGTAGTAAGTAGTAGGTAGTAGTAGTAGGTAGGTAGGTAGGTAGGTAGGTAGGTAGGTAGGTAGGTAGGTAGGTAGGTAGGTAGGTAGGTAGGTAGGTAGGTAGGTAGGTAGGTAGGTAGGTAGGTAGGTAGGTAGGTAGGTAGGTAGGAGTAGTAAGTGGCTAGTAGTAAGTGGCTAGTAGTAAGTGGCTAGTAGTAAGTGGCTAGTAGCAAGTGGCTAGAAATAAGTAGTAAGTAGTAAGTAGTAAGCAGTAAGTAGTAGTAGTAGTAGTAGTAGTAGTAGAGGTAGTAGTAGTAGTAGTAGTAGTAGTAGAAGTAGTAGTAGTAGTAACAATAATGAGTAGTAGTAGTAGTAGTAGTAGTAGTAGTAAGTAGTAAGTAGTAAATAGTGGGTAGTAAGTGGTAAGTAGTAAGGTGGTAAGTAGTAAGTCGTAAGGAGTAGTACGTAGTAGTAAGTAGTAAGTAGTAAGTAGTAAGTAGTAAGTAGGTAGTAGTAAGTAGGTAGTAGGTAGTAGGTAGTAGGTAGTAGGTAGTAGGTAGTAGGTAGTAGGTAGTAGGTAGTAGGTAGTAGGTAGTAGTAGTAGTAGTGGCAGGAAAAGCCCCCCAGGTTACATGTCCAGCGGGCAGGCGACAAAGAGCCTACATGCCGCCAAGTGCTTCTGAGTTACCGTGGATCTAGGAACACACCTGGGCCAGGTGTGCCTACTGTAGGTGCATTCATGGCGACATAGGTGAGCGGTGTGACGCAGACATTTGGAGAGACATAGCAGAGCGGTTGAATCGCATTCAAAAATCTGAAGTCCTTCAGGCAGAGATCAGCCCTCCGGAGTTCGCAAAGGACTGTCTTGCAGATGTCCTAACGCAAGATTTGAGAAGTGTGAAAAGTTTTTGTTGCCGGCACGCCACAGAGTGTCCCCAGTAAGTCAGTAAGCAAATCCTTCCAGCGGAAACCCCGCTTCACCACTCACAATCGCGACTTTAGCCAACGGCGTCTGGACAGATGCAAAGCGGACACCATACCGCCCATTGGGACCAATATTACTAAGGCCAAGAGAGGTATTGTAAATAGAAAGAAGGCTGAAAGGCAGCAGGGCTGGCCTGTGGAGCTGCCTCACAAGAAGGCGCAACTGACCTAGATTGCCGCCAAAAGACTTCATTGCGTTGATTGGGAAGGCATCCAAGAAGTTTAAAAAAGAGATATAATTTCTTGCCCACAATATATTAAAACCACAATGAAGGTATGTCAAGAATGCATGGTGACAGTCTCCCCCAAATCATGGGCAGAGGTACTGCCGCAAAGAATTGTACCTATTTGTCATCGTAGGCCCATTTGACTAGACTAGACGCTTTGTACCTTGCGTAAAAACCAAGGCTGAAGATGCAGATGCAGGCAACTTTCAGCAATGACTTTACATGACCGTTCTATGAAGACCAACTATGAATCCTAGTTTTGGAATTTGTGTTTGGATTGCTGCGTTTCCTTGCTCGCAGACAGGGCAGGCAGCCAGGTTGACAATTTGAAGTGAATAAAGCATGTTGAAGTTTCGCAATGTTGTGTTGGTGGGGCAGAGCTCCTGCAGTCTATTTTTTGCCTGGACCCAAAGGCAGCTAAGCCTTGCACTGCATTGCGGTGTCAACAAACGCACACACACATACAGACAAGAGCGCGACAAGGGGTGCCACCTAGCGCTGACCGCCCTGTCCGGCACAGTCGTGAACATCTCCATGAGTGTTGCCAAATTTGATTGATTTGAAGACCTCGAAGACCATGTGGTCGACTATCTTGCCTCCGTGACCGACCTCAAGGTCTTTGGGTGTACAATCGACTTCCTGCAAGCAGACACGCAAATCTATTTGGATAATCCAGTCTGGGAAAAACTGCAACAAAGCACGGAATACTCCATTGTGTTTCGTGATTGCTGCGAAGTCCTTCCCACGAAGGAGCGCTTTGAAGAGAGTCCATTCCGAGACATTCCGCTCGCTGTCCACGTCCCCATGAACCCGGAGGAGAAGGTGCCTGAAGGTGCTTTTGGAGCGGTACCGCGCCTCCGCCACGTCAGTGTGGAATCAGGCATAAGGGTTGTGGGAGCAGAAGCATGGCAGTGTTGTCGACAGCTTCGAATAGTCAAGATGCCGGTCACGGTAGTTTGCATCGCAGACAATGCATTCCGAGGTTGCCAATTGCTCAACAGTGTCACAGCACCTGGCTGTGTAGAGTTTGGCTATAAAGCCTTTGCTGAATGCAGCTCCCTGCAGTGGGTGTATGCTGCTGAGGGAGTGGCGAACCAATTTTGCAGCGCCACTAAATTTGGACATTACCTTTCTCGAGATTGCATGAACCTAGCCGCCTTTGCCCTGCGAGAGGCTGCTCATCCACATGAGTTGCCAGTGCGTCCGAATGCCAGGGAACTGGCACAAGGTTGCCTTGGCTCCACGGGGATACGCACACTTGAGCTCACGCGGGACTTCCAAGTACTGGGGGCGCATGCTTGTGACAATTGTCAACTACTGAAGAAAGTAGATATCTCGAACACAAAGATTGAAGAAATCCAGGAATTCACCTTTGTGCACTGCACTAGCCTGTGTGAAGTCAGTCTACCGACCACGCTTCACACCATTAGGGTGAAAGCCTTCATGAACTGCGCCGCACTGCCAGAACTCTGGGCTGCACTGCACTCCGAAGGCTGGTCAAGCTCCCAGGCCGGCAGAAATGGCCTTTGCCATTTGTCCAGCTATGAGATGGCCACCGTGGCTACACATGATTCCCGACACAGGGCATGTGTCCGGATTAGCGTAAAGTACATTTCTCACATTCTGCAGATGTCCTCGCTGGGTTAATACTGAGCAATTCAGCAATGATTTCCTCGTAAGGGGCGAAGATGAGATCAAGAGCACCTTTGGAGTCAACGCCAGCATGTTATCCTCTTTCATGAGTGTTGTTTCGATGCAACGAGAGTTGACCTGACCGTTGGAGCGTGCACATCGCTCAGATTCAACGAGTCAGCAAGTACAAAAGGCACCATGAGAGTCACAGCCTTCATGAACTGTGCTGCACTGCCAGAGCTTGCCACACCGCCCTCGCTGTACCACATAGCTAGTATAAATGGAGGGTAACATAGACAGGAGCAAATGTCTTTGCTATTTGCCCAGCCATCAGACGCCCACCTTGTTAGTTCATGGTCCCTGGTAGTGGTTACTTGCATGGATGAGAGCCTTAGCTCCTCGTCCATGGTCGGTGGGTGGTAGGCTCATGTGCCGGGCCTACAGTAGTCGACATAACACCACATATAGGTGCCCGTATGCGAGCTGTCAGCGACTGCAGGTGGTCCACTTGCCGAACACAGTTGTCTGCCTGCAGCATGGAGCTTTTCGCAGATGTTACCTACTCAGAGCTGTGTTGGCCCCGGGATGCAGGCAATTCGGAATCAAGGTCTTTGAGGCATGCTGCTCTTTAACGCAGATTGGGGCAACCAATCACACGACTAACCAGTTAGCCCCGCAAGCACAACTCCGGCCTC